TGCGATGGTGTGCACCAAGGTCCACCACTGGGAACGTCGGTCCCGTGAGTGCACCTGGCTCCACTGCGCTGCCTGTCGAACTGAGCCCTCCACAAGTCGCGCTCCACGAGCGCGTCGTGTGCGAGGCACAGACGACCCATGGTGCCGTTGGATGTTGAGCTCCACTGGAGAACCATGCTGCATACATTCCAGAAACTACAGTAGAATGGGCGGCCTCCAGCCTAAACGTTACGGAGTTGAGCAGGGAAGGGAAGATATAATGGAGACAGTCCTGCCCAGAGGCGAACCCGACTGGGGATCACGAAAGCATGGGAGGGGGAAGGGTCATCACCTGGGGGCTGTGCAGGACTGGGCCCAGGGCCAGCGTCACCAAACCTGCGGACATGACCCAGGCAAATTTCACTCAGCCCCTGGCGGGCCTCAAGGCAGCGTGCATCGGGACTGGACGCATTCTCCTGGGATTGGTGGGGAGGGGGGCCGGCACGAATTGGAGGGGGGCTATGCCGATCCAGCGCAGGGGGTGGCGACGGTTCGGTATGCTCCCGAGCGCACTCTCCTGCACTCTGGGGCGCGTCCCTCGAGCTTGGGCCGGAGAGGACAGGGTGAGAAGGGTCCGCCAGCACGCTCTTCAGCGCACCGTTGGCACGCAAGCCTAATTCCTCAGCCCACGGGGCGCCCTCCTCGTCGGGCCACCAATCGAAGGATTCGTCGACCTCATCGGGATGGGCATGACCGACGCCCTCCTCGAACGACACAGGGACCCTAGGGGTTTGAAAACAATCGACAAACATGGCTTTAAGCTGAGACGCTCACGCCGCCATGGCCTCAGCTTTCACAGCGGCCAGACTGGCCCGAGCAAGACTGGTCTTCGAACCTACCGTGGGCTCCCTGCGAGGCCTCGGGGCTTGCGGAAGCCTGGGGGAGACTTCGAGGGAGCGGGTGAGAAGCTGGAGGCCAGAGCTGAGGAACTCAATCGCGAAGCCTTGGTAAGGCTTCCACGGGGCCGATTTGACAGCGCGGATGTTTTTCACGAGTGACGAGGCCTCAGGGCTGCAAACCACGTAGTCGAGCAAGGAGTCTTGCCCGAGCTTGCTGGCCCAAGAGCCCTCAGGACCAGCTGTGCGAATGACGCCGTTCAGCCTTTGAACAGATGCCGTCTGCGAGAGAATGCCTGGCTTCATGTTGAAGTCGCCCACGACCGGCCATGGTATGTTGACGGCCTGGAGTAGGCCCCCGAGTCTCTGAAACCTGATCTTGTTGTGGCCTGTTATCAATATGTTGGGCAGCGCCCAGATGATATCACCACTACGACTGAGTATCCAGCAAAATGAACAACCATGGGGAGAAACCTATCGAGGCCGACCTGGTCCGCCTTTCGTAGGTGTCCTGCAGCGACCCTAGCCTCTGGCAGCACGTCGGCTTGGAGGTGCTGGTGAGCTAAATCATCCACCCTCATTCGCCCGTGTATATGAGTCTCTGCCGAGGCCCAGTATGAGTACTTGCAATAGTTTAATTGAATGTATTGCCTCACTTCCTCCGTGAAGGCCGCGACATTGGCGTAGAACAATGTCGTGATGCCTTCAGTGTGGTCGTCATCCTCCACGCCTAGTCGAAAGGTGGAGGCGGCCGTGCCTTGGCCGCCATCCACCCCCTTGCCCTTGGACTTGGCCTTCGCCGCCGCCTCCTCCGCCTTCGCCGTGAGCTTGGTGAACGATTGCCTCTTGGCCTCCTTCTGCAGCTTCTCCTTAGCCTTCTTCTCGGCCTCCGGGTCGAGCTGCGAGGAGGCCGTCCGTGCACTCGCTGCCGCCTGGCCGACGGCGGGGCCGGCCCCTGGGGCAGGGGCAGCACCTCCACTGTTGCTTTTCCTCTTCGTCTGCATCCTGTCGGTGATGTCCTTCTGGTACTGTGTGGCCTTCTCGAGCCACGCATTGATCTCAGCCTCCTTGCCGTTCAAGTCGTTCTTGACGCCGACGAGGTGAGCCTGCAGGTCGGACAGGGCCTGCCTCTCCTCGGGCGTGCACTCCATGTCATCGAGCGGGTTGAAGAAGCCTCGTTCCACTCCACCGTGAACATGGCCTGGGAGGACTCGCTGGAATCCTGGTGGACGCCCTCGGCCCACGCCACCGCCTGGGCAGCCGCCTTCTTGGCCGCCTCCGCCTGGGCGAAAGCCACAGCAGCACGATTCTCCTTAGTCTCCGCCGCCTCCAGACTCGGCCGCAGCCTGAGCACGTTCTCCACGCACTGGTTGTGGTGGTGCTCCGCGTTCTCCCGCGCGCTGTCGGCCTTGCGGAGTGCCTCTGCAGGCGAGACCGACGCCTCGGAGTCCGCCTTGGCCTGGGAGCTGATCTTCTCGATCTGAGCCGCCTGGGCAGCCTGCAAGTCGGCGTCCGCCGTCGTCTGCGCGGCCCGCTCGACGAGCCGGGTGACGGACGTGCCACTCGCCGCTCCTCGGGTCCCACGTCGTCTGCCGTTCGGGGAATGACTGCGCTGACGGCGGCCGCCCTGCTGGCTTCCGGTCCCGTTCCCCCCAGGCTTCGCTTCATCACCTCGTGCTTCGCCCTCCCAATGTACGTGGCGCCCATCTGAGGATTGGCGCTTGAAGAGAGTGACGGGGGGGCCGCAACCTGAGCAGCATCCGCCGTTCTTGACGATGAGATGGTTCCTCTCGCACCTGCGGCACTGCTGGCAACTTGACCATAGCTTGGACATCGCGCGAGATAAATCAGGAACAACGAACCTCGGTGTTGGTCGCAGGTCACGGGCTGTGGCTTGGCCCTTGACCTGGGTCCCTCAAGTGCTACGTAGAAGCCCTGAGGATTATGCGCGCGGGAATGACGGAGGTCCTTGAGCCAACGGCTTGAGCCAAAATGGCTACGGAGGTTTGAGGAGGAGGCAGAGGACCTGTAGGAAGAGGAGGACGAGGAAACATGAGGAGGATTTAGGAGGAATAGTGATCTTGCTTGGTCTGGCAGATGGGTCTTTTCAGTGTGGCTTCCCTGGCACCTTACATTTCAAAGACGCGCATTGACTTTGATATTCATCCTCGGGCCATGGAAGCTGACGAGGATGGGATGGTAATGAATCTGTAATGACCATGCTACAGAGGATGCTGCTGACATAATGCTGATGCTTTTCCTGCTGCTGATGATGCTGATAACGACGATGACGACGACGACGACGACGGTGATGCTGCTGCTGCTGCTGCTGCTGATGATGATGATGATGATGAGGATGATGATGATGATAATGAATAGGATGATGATGCTGATGATGATGTTGAGGATTATGAAGCTGATGATGATCATGATGATGCTGATGGTGATTGTTATGATAATGATGATGATGTTGATTATGATGATGATGCTGATGATGATGATGTTGAGGATTATGAAGCTGATGATGATCATGATGCTGCTGATGGTGATTGTTATGATAATGATGATGATGTTGATTATGATGATGATGCTGATGATGATGATGCTGATGCTGATGCTGATGCTGATGATGATGATGATGATGATGATGATGATGATGGTGATGCTGGTGATGATGATGCTGATTCTGATTCTGATGCCGCTGATGAGGCGGAGGGGGAGTACTTAGGATGATGACCAGCGCTACGAAGGAGAGTAGGTGCGGGCATCGAGACGCCACATCGCATGCTTGTGTTTGGTGCTGCCGCAGTAGGCGAGCTATTAGTTCGTAGAGGTGGCATGATGCTTCATCGCGCGTCCGCCCGGACGTGCAGACCCAGTCTCGTCTGCCGGGATTGTCTCCGTTCTCCAAAAACGTAAGGCGTCATCGGGGCAGGCAGGGAGGGAGGGAGCGGGACTGGGCGGACGATGGCGAGTCTATCGAGCCGACTTTGCCTGACGACGCGTGCGTGTAAGTCCAGGCGGCTCAAATGGGAGCACCCTTGGGGGGAAGGGTAGCGGGGGAGGGAAGAAGCAGGGAGGCGCGGGCCACATTTCAATTGATCAGGCCTTAGACATTCTTTGAGTTGTCAACCTGGTCTTGCACTCCTTCGCTTGTTAGTTTGCCGGTTCTAACGCAGCGCTGGCGTTTGGTTGCTAACCGACACTTCGCCTGACCCCGTAGTTATTTTCAGGCGTCTGGCAAACCGAGTCAGTATCGGTGCTTTCTGGTCCTGCATGGTCAGGTGTGATTCGATCGAGCTGGTTGAGCATTTTGGCCAGGTCTTTGCTCTCTTCTTCCTGGGTCTCTTCGTGCCCACTCCTCCTCCCTCCATGGACTCTTCTCATATTTGAGCGTGCTGGCGGGCTCCTCCATGGACGTTCCGCGTTTATTCTCCTCGGGAGGGCCAGCATACATGTGCATTGTTGCTACACCGCCACAGCCCACCTACGGCAGCAGAGCGGCGCAGTGAACCCTTACTAGTTGTACAGATCCCAGCTCCCAGGCATTATGGAACGCATGTAAAGTACCACTCGCCTTCCATCGGGCCCCTCCTCCTCCCGCTCTTCCCCGTCCACTCCTGCACCTGATCGCTGCAGCGAAGGGTGATTCCTCTCATCAAAAAAACCAGTCGGTTTTGAAGCTGTAGGATAATCCGCGTCGTTCGCCGCAGCTTATCCTGCCTGTCGTTCTCTCCTCCGCTCCCCGCTGGGAGGAAGGAAAGAGCCACGCTCTGTTGGCGCTTGCCCGTTCTCGGATGCAGTGCTCAAGGGCGATCGTTGTCGAGCTGTGGGAACCCCGGCTTGGGATGGAAGCTGTTCCCGGCTGGACGAGATTCGGGGGCGGAAAAGAGGGGGGTGATGACTAGGGGGGGGTGGATATCATGGCGGGGGGCATGATATTTCCCCAGATTTCATGGCGCCTCTTCTTATTTCGTTACGTCCCTGGGCCCCCCGCTGGGCCGCGCTCATGCCGCCGGCCATGATCTGCACCCCCCCCTCTTGGACACCCCCCTCTTGGCCGCCCCCGATAAACATGTCTTCTCCTCATATTCCGTTTCCTCTGCCTCATCCGATACCCTTCAGGACGGCCTCCGGAGGCTCCATCTTCACGACGAAGGAACTGGGGCTTGCGAGAGCGAGAGAGGAAGCAAGGGAGAGAGAGGGAGGAAGCTAGAAGACAGAGACACTCACACATACAAACACACACACAAACACCCACATTCACAAGCACAAACACACAAACACGCAAACACGCAAACACACAAACACAGCACACAAACAAACAAACACACACACAAACCACACAACCACACACAACCACACAAAGCCACACAAACTTACACAACACCACACAACAACACACGCCAGCACACACAACAACCCGAACAACACAGCAACACACAACAAGCCACACAAACACACATACACACAACAACACACACAACAGCACACACAAGCACACAACAACACACACACACAAACAGACACAACCACACACAAGCACACAAACAGACACACAGAAACACACACACATACAAACACACACACACACACGCACGCAACCACGCACAAACACAAACACACACACACAAACGCAAACACACAACCACACACAAACACACACAAGCACACGCACGCAGTTACTCAAGCATGCACATACACAACACACACACACGCGCAAACACTCACAAACACACGCAAACACACAAACACAGTAACCAACAAACACACAACTACACGAGCATACAATCACTCACACACACCACACAACCACACAACAATACACAACAATTCACACCACCACACATCCCACACACATATACAACAGCAGCACACAACAATCCACGCAAACGCACACACAACAGCACACAACACCACAGGCACATACACATACACACCAGACACATGCACACAATCACACAAGCACACAAACACAGAAGCACACACACAAACACAAACACACACAAACACACAAACGCACACAACCACACATAACCACACACACACAGACACACACACACACCCAAACACACACAAACACACAAACACACGATCACACACATGCACACAC